AGCCTGCGAGAGGGATGTCTGACTGCCAGCTTGGGGAGCCTAAGCCAGCAGGTGGACATCCTCTGAGGGGTCCCAGACTGCAAGAGGGCATAGGCCAGGCTGAGGGACCCCCCCCCCCGGCCGAGTGCACAAATTTTTGTGCACCGGGCCTCTAGTTAATAAATAATAACACAAGAATAAACTTTCACACACAACTGTAAAACTACTTTCCCCAACCTGTAAGTATTATTATGTTCTTAATGCTTTAAAATCTATTTACCTTTACAGCACTTATAGCTGTATCAAGCGTTGAAACCTCATGGTCTTTGTGGGTACCAAATATCTTGTCAACAGCAGAAATTGGGCTTTTGCAAGTATAGCAATACGTGTCAATCTGGGACTTTTTCGCTTCTTTTTGCTCCTTCTCAGTTACTAACTCTGATGATAATTGGTCTTCTGTCCTCTCTCTGCCCACCTCATTCTGTTCAGAAGACATACTTTGTTCCACCTCACTCACAAATTCATTCCCACTGATGTGTTCAAAGGATTCCTTTCCCTGAGATAACACATCTTCAGGCGTGGATTCTGAATAGAGTTCTTCTGACAAAGTGTCTTGAGTAACTACTTCATAATTCAGAGATTCAGCAAACTCATATTCATCCTGGACAGGGCTACTGCGGAGCCTATCTTCACTTGGCTCAGGTAGGACCATTATTTGAGGTTCTACTTGCAGCGTTTCTTGAACACAAGTTGCACCAGATGTAAATTCTTCCTCTGGGAAGGACACTTGTACTGGGACATTCAGATTGACCTCTGGATTTGCATTTGCTGCTTCGTTACCCTGAGTGCTTGTTTCATCTCTGCTCTCCAGAACATGAGGGGTATCTTCAAATGGAATCGCATAGCTTATCTTCTGGGTAACCACTTTGACTTCCTCAGTGATGGGAGCTTTCCTCTGTGTATCTACATTGTCAAGGGTCTCCACATGGCCTACTGGTTCTCCCTCCCTGTAAGAAGCTTTCTGTTCCTCTTCTAGACTCCTTTCCCCGCAAATAGTTCTAAACCTCTCCCCAATTTCCCTTTCTGCTGCTATTGGTTGATATGAATCATCCTTACCAACTGATTTTCCTTCCCGACCTTGGTCTTGGTCCTTTTCCATTACAGATGTGTCATGAAGAATGTCATCTTTGAGTATATACTTCTCAAAATATATTCCTGTTCCATCATCAGTGTCAGATTTTTTGCTTGGAAATGATGCCTCAGAATTCACACTGCCACCTTCAGAAGCTGTCTCTCCTTCCTTCTTTTTCTCTCCAACTGCTTCTTCATACAGATCCTTGTATAAAAATGCAAGTGCAGGTGGTTCCTCCACAAGTTCAGGATTAATGGCTTTAGCCGTGGTAGGAAATATCGGGGTTCGTGACAAAACTCCCTCCTCTGTATCAAATAAGGGCATCCCAGGTGACTTGGAGTCCACATCTCTATTTGTGCTCTTTGAAGCATCTTTGTCAGCTGATTTTTGGATAACCACAGACTTTTGGGCCTCTGAGTGAGATAATTTGCTGTAGTCCTTTTCCAGTCCATAAAAACTTTCATCTAACTTCACCAAGTCATACTCATGTTCTAGGGCACTTTCCTCTGAACTTTCTGGGAAAGAGACAGCTTCTTCTGTAACTTCCTTTGAGAGTTTCACCTCAACATTTAATTTCCCTGGAGCTTTCTGTATTTCTGTGTCTGGGGAGATGTTATAATCAATCAACGTATATTTTTCAAAATAATCCTCTTCACCGGGAACTGTGGGCTGATTAAAGGCTAAATCACCAGTTTCTGAATCTGTGGCTATTTCCTCTTTTGTTTCATGAGTTTCCTTTTGTTTCTTTTCTTTCAAAGATGTAACTTTTTTATCAGAATCTAACTTACTCTTTAATGTTTTATGGCAAGCAACTGCCTCACTATCACCAGGGAAGGGCAGAGTTTTAAGTGAGGCCTTCTCTTCCAAATATTCTATCTTATCTTGCATTTGTTCACTTTCTTCCTGATCAACCGAAGATATAAATGCAGGAGCATGGATATTCAATATCTCACAGCCTTCAGAAATGATACTGAAGGCACTCTTTTGATCTTCTGAAAGTCCAGCTGGCTTACTAGTCGTTGTATATTCTTCTTCAGGCTCCCTGGATATTTTATTGGCATTGGTTGTTGATGCATTTCTTATAAATTCAGCATAGTTGCTGCTTGCTGGAGAGTGTGGTTCATTTACATGGGCAGCTCCTACAGCCCCCAACTGGTGTTTTGAAACAAGTACAGATTGTTTAGACATTTCAGATGTTTGTACTATAGATGTTTGAATAGTATGGACTGTATGCCTATCTGGAGTCAATTCTTGTTTCTTCTCTGTACTAATTTCTTCATTCTTTACAGTACTAATTTCTGGAGAAGCCTCTGAAAATGGTTGAGTTTCACTCAAAGAACGACTTAAAGAGTCATCTGATTTTTCAGGCATACTCCTGGCTATTTTCACAGAATAAGGCTGAATCTCCTGCTGCTTCTTTCCTTCTGAAAATGCTTGTAGCTGCTTTTCTTTCCCTTTCCCTTTCTCCTCCTCAATAATTTTGTGTCTTTCTTTGTAGTCTTCATTTTGACAGACTTGCTGCAGTGCAGCAGCAGCTTTTGATTCTTCCAATTTAATATGGGGAGATCCATGTGTAATTGGTGTCTCTTCTATTTCATTATTATAGCTTAACTCTAATGGGGTCACAATTTCTTGTTTTTCTGCCAGCACCTTCTTTTCTGCCAAGGAATATGATCTGATTTCCAAGTTATCTTTCTCCTCAGTTGGGCTAACAGACCTGAGTTTTACTTCCTCTTCAGAAATTTTCAGGGAAGCAGGTTTTGGCATTTCTTTCGTTAGTCTGTCCCCACCAAGATTAATTAAACTGCCTTTAGAGTTTTCTGGCAAAATTATTAACTCTGGCTTCTCTGATTCCCTCATGATATTTTCACTTGTGAAGCTAGATGAAACTGATTTTGGCTGTTGTGTCACCTTATCTACTGCATCAGATGAAAAGAGTGAGTTTTCTTTTTGATCACTTCTTGGCTCTTCCTTAAGAACAGAAATATTCCATTTAGATGGAGAAGAGATTTCTGGCTTCTGGGATCTTTTATTATCAGAGACATTTTTGGCTTCTTCCATAATAGATTCCTCACCCACTGGAGAATAAGATTGAATTCCAAAATGTTCCTCACTATCAACAGAAGTAACTACTGAGGTTAGGTCCATTTCTTTCTTCCCACGATCTTCACTGGACACCTCAAAGTTGGCTTTTGGCTGCTGTAAAACTTCTACATTTGATGAAAGAGTAGGCTTTTCTTTAAAGTCTTGACCTTCCTCAGATTTAGCTAAAGTACCTCTGGTTTCTTCAGCAGTTATGAGTTTTGCCTCTGGTAGCAGTTGATCAGCTGGTTTCTCAGTTGCATTCAAGTCAGTGGGAGCTGTTCCTTTAGGCTCTATCACAGTCACTGCTTTTTCTATAGATGGACTTGGTTGAGTTTCTAAATCTTTTTCAGCAACTTTATTATCTGGAGTGCTTGATCTAGAAAACAAATTGGACATCCATGACATGAAAGATGAAATTCCTTTCTTTTTCTTTTCTTCAGAATGGCCTGGTTTAACTGCCTTTGGCTGCTCAGGCAGCTTTTGTGTCACCTCAGGTGATTCTGGGGGCTGAGGTTCTTTATTTTCTAGGACTGAGGTTTTTATTTGTGTGGATATTTTCATTCCAGATGTTGGTTTCCCTCTCTCATTAGCATCATCTACAACTTTTGACTGATCGATTTTTAATTCTTCCAATTGTTTCTCTCCAGGTAAAGGAGATACACTCCTGAGTGCTTCTTTTTTATTGCCCACCACAGGTTCTGCATCTTCTACCAGGAAAGGAGCTGCTTTGGCATGAGAGGGAATTGTTTCTGACTTGACCTGTTCCATGGATGGACCAGACACTGGTTTCTGGAGGATTCTTTCAGAAGGTAGTTTGACTTCTTCCTGGCTGTCTTTGCAAGGTCTGGAAAACTCTGTATTTGCTTTTTCCAACACTGAACTTTCACTCCTCATGAAAGAAAAGACCTGCTTCCCCTCTGCTTCGTTTCTCTCCACAGTTCCAGCTGGAAAGACAGATTTTGTTTGGGGGACCAGCTTCATTTCTTCAGAAGATGTTTTAGTTGATAAGATCTCTACATTACCACTGGGGATATCATGAGTAGTTACTGGTTCTTGTAATGATAAGTGAGATTCTTCAGCAGAATGTGGCAGAATCTGTTTTCTGGTTTCATATGCACGGTCTTTACTCGACAAAGCAGCCTTGGGCTGCCCCGTCTCCAGATCAGTGCTGCCAGAGGAACCCAGTTGCACAGATCCCAGTACTCTTTCTTCACGATGACTTGCCAGATCTCTTTCTGGCTTTTCCAGAATCAAGTTTTCATCCTCTGGAGAAATAAGGGCCTCTCTCATTTGTGTTTCTTTAACATCTGCATTCTCGGTTGTCAAAAATGATTTTGATTCTTCCAAAGGCAAATTCTCTTTCATAACTGCAAGCTGTTTAATACCCAAATCTTGTTTAGCCACAAAAGATGTGCTTACATCAGGTACTTTAACAGCCTGATCTGACTGAAGTGTGTTTTCAGGTTTCTCTTGTTCCATAAGACGGTCAGAAGAAACCATCTTTGATGGTTTCGTTATACTCTGGGGTACAGGGAATGAATGTGTTTGGTCTGTTTCTTCTTTTAGTGTAGCTACAGCATCTCCTGTCACTTGTGCCTTCAAATTTCCTGTTGGCAGTAATGACCTTATTTCTTGTTTTTCCCCCTTTTTAAAGTCAGCTGAATGGCTCAACTCTTTTGATAATCCTTCTAAAGTGAAAGTGCATGGCTGAAGTTCTTCAGGGTTGTCTCCTTCAACCAAAGAGGTAAATGCTTCTTTTGACCCTAAGCTGACTATGTTAGGAGAGACAGACTTAATTTCTTGGTTTGGAGGTTTCTCCTTAAGGTATGGTGAAACCTCTGAAATTTCAGGCGCTGTGGCTGACACATGAAGTTCCCTGTCTTCTTCTTCTCCTCTGCTCCTAAGCTCAGCAAGGCCCTTTCCTAAGACAGAACCCCCTGTTCCAGTCATGGGCGATTTTATTTGCTTTGAGTCCATAGATCCACTTTGCCTACCTAAATCACCAGCATTTGGTAATTCTGATATTTGGCGTGGCTTGTCTTTCTTCACAGGTTCCAAAGAGAGCTCTGCCAGAGCGAGACCCTGTTTTTCTGACAGAAAATCTCCCTGAGCTGTAGAAGATGTGTCCATTGCCTGTTTGCTCTTATCATCACTGATGGTTGGGAATGTTGGAGCTAAATCTTCTGACACTAAAGTTTCCAACTTGGGAGAAGAACTTGCCATGTTCTCAGTTTTGCCTTTTGGAACTTCATGTTTGGGTGCAGGTGACACATTTTGTGAGAAAGGAAGTTCAGCTTCTTTTTTCTTTATCTCACCACCTAGGTTGACTGAAAGCCCTGACACCTCTGAGGCAGACACAGAATTCTTTTTCTGTGGTAAGGCCAAATGTTCAGAGTCAAGGACTGTAGAAAATGAAAGACCTTGTTTGTTTTCCACTCTTGCATCCTTGGATACATCTGCATGCTGAGAAGACAGTGTTTTGGTTATTGGCAACCCAGGTTTAACTTCTTCAGTTTCTACCTTTGACAAAATAGAATGCTCTGATATAGAGGATATGCTTGGAGGTGAATCCAGTTTAATTTCCTTCTCTGCTTCTGACCAAGTTGGATGTTTGGATGCAACAGTTTCAATATGAGGAGAGCTAGCTTTAATTGCTATCTTTCCTTCGTCTTTAAGGAGTAATTGCTCATCCATAGATGTTACCAATGGTGGCAAACCACTTTCTAATTCACGCTTTCCTACAGTTAAGACTGAATGTTCTATAGGGGTAGTAAGAGGTAACTCTGTTGGGATTTCTTCTTTTGCTAATTTGGTTAAGTTTGAATCATGCTTAGCTAGAGAGGTTGTGGTTATTGAAGAACTGGGTTCAATTTCTTTCTTTCTTTCTTCTGAAAATTCTGGTGCAGATAGTCCACGTTCAACTTCTTTTTCCACTCCTGGTGAAGCTGAACGCAGCACTTTAGGTACACCAATTATTTTGGAATCGTGTTTCACTTCCGTTTTCACTGCTGATAACCTCTCAGGCCCAGATAAAGGTGGTTCTTTTAGAGGTGAATATGGTTTTATTACTTCAGGCTCATTCTCTGACAATATTCTCTGTTCTAGTTCAGATGTCACAGTTGGAGCTAAATTGAATTTGACATCCTTCTTTGGCTCATCTACCAAGTCAGACAGAGTGGAAAATTTCATTCCAGACCCTGGAACATTTGGAGGCTGAGGTTCCATTTCTTGATCCTGTGATACGTGTGCCGCAGCTTCTTGAGAATCAGGCAAAATTTCTTCCTTACTTTTAACTTTAAACAAAGCCATCTGTTCATTTGCAGCTTTTGGAGTGAGCAAAGCTTTGGTTTCTTGATCTTTCTTAAGTGCATGGATTGAATCAGGTGAAACTGAATACTGAGATGAAGGTGAAACCGGTTTGGTTTCTTCCTTTACTATGGGTGATTCTGCAGGTACAGAAACAGGTGTTGCAGCTACTGATGAACTAGTCTTAATTTCTCCCTTCTCTAATTCACTGGTTAAACGTGGTGGAATCAAATCTTCAGACTCAGGTTCTAAAAATGCTTGAGTTACCTTTTTCTGTAATGAAATAAGATATTCAGACACAGATATTGACAATGCTTGAGCATCTGCTTTCTCTGCTTTATTTGGCAGACTCAACTCTCCAGATGCAGACATCGGAGGGGAAGGTTCAGCTTGTTGCTTCTGTGATGAGTTGAGATGCTCAGGTACTGGTGTAGCAGCTGTTGATTCAATTTCTTCCTCATCTGCTTCTGAAAAGCAGGAATATCCTGAAGGAGATACTGCAGTTAACAGTGACTCAGGCTCAATTTCATTTTTCTTTGTTTCTGGGATTTTATATGGTGGGACTGAAACTTGTGATGCTGAGTCTGGAGAAAAAAGTTCAGCTTCTTCAGTGTCTTCATCGGACAAAATGGTGTGTTCTGATGGTGATGTTAAACATATTGGAGATTCACACTCCAATTCTCTTCTCTCTGTTTCCTGAGTTGCATAGGGTGGGAATGAGAACTCTGACACAAATGCAGAGTCTGGAGAAAACGGTTCAACATCTTCTTGCTCTTCTTCTGAATAATTCACGGGTGAAGAGACACCTTTTAGATTTAAAGGGGATCTGCGGAAAATTTCTTCCTCCTGTGACTCAGGTGTTGCATGTGGTGATACTGAAAATTCAGAAGCAGCGGTGGAAGAGGGTGTGTACCGATCCATTCCTACTGTCTCCTCCTCTGATGGAATCACGTGTTCAGATGGGGTGGCTGAAAGTGGTGGGGCTTGGTGTTCAGAAGGCATTTCAGTTGTGGATTGGGGGAGAGAGTGTTCAGCCACAGAGGCCACATCTGGGGAATACAGCCCAGTGTCTTCCTTCTCTTCTTCTGACAACGTTACGTGCTCAGAAACACCTTTTGATTTTAAGAGAGATGCATCATCAATTATTTTCTTTGGAATTTCCTGTGTTACATTTGGTGGAACTATATATTGGGAATTCAATGTTGAATCTGGTGTGAAACGCTCACTTCCTAGTTCCTCCTCCGATAGGACCACATGTTCAGAAGGAGTGGCTGAAAGTGGTGGGGCTTGGTACTCAGAAGTCACCTCAGCTGTGGATGGGGGGAGAGAGTGTCCAGCCACAGAGGCCACATCTGGGGAATACAGGCCAGCGTCTTCCTTCCCTTCTTCTGACAAAATCATGTGCTCAGAAGCACCTTTTGACTTTAATGAGGGCTTATGGTCAATGTTCTTCAGTGACTCTTTTGTTGCCTGTGATGGAACTGAATATTCAGAAGCAGATGTGGAATCTGGTGTGTAATGCCCACTTTCCGCAGCCTCTTCTCCAGACACTGATGGAAACAGTGGGGATTGGCATTCAGAAGTCTTCTCAGTTATAGATGGTGAGAGAGAGTGTTCAGATGCAGAGGCTGAATAAGGCTCAAATTCCTCATTCTCCTCCTCTGACAAAACTGCATGTTCAGATGTAGCTTTTACAATGGATTGAGAAACTGGCTCAACTTCTTGCTTCTCTAGTTCATGGTTCATATCCTGTGGGACTGAGTGCTCTGATATGAAAGCAGAATCAGTGGAAACAGACTCATTTTCTTCTATTTCTTCCTCAGACAAAGCAACATGTTCAGGTGTTGATGTGGTCAGTGATGGTAGAATGGGCTCCTCTTCTTTCTGCTCCACTTCAGGGGCCAAGTGGGGTGGGAAGGGCTTCTCAGAAACAGATGGACTTTCTGAGTAATCAAGTTCTATGATCTCTTCCTCCACTAAATGAGAATCTTCAGGTTCAGGGGTACCAGCTATTGGTACAGAAGTCTCTATTTCTTCTTTCTCTGACACTAAGTGTTCAGAAAGAGAAATGGGTGGCTCAGGCACGTTTTCTTCCTTCTCTCCTTTGACATCCAGCTGAGGAGAGGTCAGTTGTTCAGAGACTGGTTCTGCCCTTTCTAGTGAAGTCAGATCTAATTCTTCTCTCTCTGGGCCAATGTCTTCCTGGATAGATGGTGAACCTGTTTCCAGAGAATCCTTCTCTGCCTCCGGTGAAACAGAATGGTCAGTAGAATATACGTCTTCCTTCTTTACCTCATTCATGAAAGGTGGTGAGACTAAAGATTCAGGCTCTGAAGGTACAATTTCTTGTGAATCAGGCTCGAATTCTTCCTTTGCTGTTTCCAGGAATGCAGTTGCAGATGTGTCAGGCATAAGAGAGGAAAGCTCCATTTCATGGGGTTTTGCTTCAACACCTGGCTGTTGTGGCACTGACTGGGGAGGACTGCGCTGTGTTTCCTTTGCTGTGTCATTACTTCTGGAAGAGGAAACTGTGTGCTTGGTGGCAGAAGCGGCCTTCAGGGGAGAATCCGGGTAAATTTTCTTTTGGTCTTCTCGACTGAATAAGGAGGTATGGGACTTTGATCCTTTGGAGAGAGCACCTCTCCAGGGTGAAGTAAGCTCTTTTCCTTTATCATCTTCTACGCTCTGGCCTACTAATTTGCCTGTTTTAGAAACTATATTAGAATCACGATTGCCCATATCTGGCTCTAGACTAAGGGATGCATCTTTCCCCTTCCTATAATGTATTTCTTTAATTACATAACCCTTTGGCAATGTCCCATAAAATTGTAGAGGAATTAATTCTTCTTTAACTGAATTAAACATCTTAATTTTATATTGTACTGTTCCTATATAGACTGGCCGTAACACTAAGGGCTTGTGTTCTTTGTATATTGCCCCAGTAATAGGAGGTGTATTTGAGGTGGTCTTCTTCTTTCTCATTTTATCATAACTGCCACTAGATAACTTCTCATTCTGGGTATTTAGTACCTGGCTTTCTGAAATTAAAGGACTATCTTTTTTGCTTGCTGGAACATCTTGGGTTTCAAAAGAATTTCTTTTTTTGTTGCCTTTCCGACGCAATGATGGTGAGCCATGCTTTGATTTAGATGTTCTTTTCCGGGCCTTTTTAACTTCATCCACAATAAAGGAAACATTCCCTGCAGTAGAATTTATAGTTGACCCTTCCAGACTACATACACCAGACGTCTGACTTTCTTCCGAAGCCCAAGGAGTGGAAGACCTACTTGAATTTGTTTCCCAGGTTATTCCACTATCTTCCCGTTGAACTGTCACCATGGAAAAGGAGGGGTCAGATATAATACACTTCTCCTTGGTCTTGCCCTCTTCATCCTGGTCTGATAATCTACAGTAAAAAATAATAATATTAACAATCACATATATTATAATAAAAACATTATATTAATTACTTATAATAAGTAAATATCATACATTTACCAGCTAAAGTATTAATGTGAAATTAAAATATAGAGATAAACTTACCACCCATATCAAAAATAGAGAAGTATACAAAATAAAGTTTAAAAATTGTCAAATATAACACATTATAGACTGAAATGAATCAATATCCTCAAACTAAAAAAAAAAGCTAGCCTGACTGGTGTGGCTCAGTGGTTGAGCATCAACCTATGAACCAGGAGGTCACAGTTCGATTCCAGGTTAGGGCACATGCCCAGATTATGGGCTCAATCCACAGTAGGTGTGTGCAGCAGGCAGCCAATCAATGATTCTCTCATCACTGATGTTTCTATATCTCTCTCCCTCTTCCTTCCTCTCTGAAATCAATAAAAATATATCTATTTTTTAAAAACTAAAGTTAAATTCATCACCTCCCTTATCAGAATTACCCTACCCACCTCACCCTTTCATGCTCACCTAGTCACTCAGGCTTCCTCTCTAGTCACCTGGACCTTCATAATGGCTCTTGCATCTGTGCCCTCTCTGTTATTAAGCCACTCTGACCTAGTGTTGTTATTTTTTTTAACCACACCACCTCTAGATTTTTATATTACATTCCTAACTGTTCAGCTAGAATTATATGTACCTCTTTTTTTTTAATATATTTTATTGATTTTTCACAGAGAGGAAGTGAGAGAGATAGAGAGTTAGAAACATCGATGAGAGAGAAACATCGATCAGCTGCCTCCCGCACATCTCCCACCGGGGATGTGCCCGCAACCCAGGTACATGCCCTTGACTGGAATCGAACCTGGGACCCTTGAGTCCGCAGGCCGACGCTCTATCCACTGAGCCAAACCGGTTTCGGCTCTATGTACCTCTTATCTGCCCCCACCCTCAACTCATCTTGCCCATCTTCCACCAGCTTTACTAAAAATTTTCATCGTGTCACTCCCTGCTCAAAAATCTCAGCAAATTCCTTCTACCTGTGGGGAAAACAAAGTTCAAAATCCTTAGTTCTCTGATTCCGAGCTCATTTTATTTCCAAGTACCCACCTCCACCCTACGTAATACATTTCTGTTTTAACTCTAAAATTTGCTGTTCAGTAAATATATCATGGGAACGCTGAATCAGGGCCATAAAGTGAAAACCCATCACAGAAAAAGAGAATATGTATCTCCAACTTGAAATTTTTAAAGAGAAAATGACTAGCCACCAAAGAGGAGCTACCAAAATAATAGTTTCCCTTATTTCACCAACATCTTTGTTTTGAATTGGTACTCTCATTTTTTTACTTAAAAAATAAACAAACAAACTAAAACACTACACTTCTAAAGAAGTAAAAGGTCCTCAAACTAGTTTGTTCTGAAAGATACAATTTTAAACTATTACCTTTTGTTTCTATTAGGCTCAAGATACGTATTCTAGGAACTGGTTATACCTATCTATGGCTAACAGCTAAAGTGACATTAAAGTTCCTTATAGAAATATAATTGGGAACAATAGCTTAGATTTGCATGTTGCTTTATGTTACTCTCCAACAATCTCAGTACACTAACCAGAAGTGTAACAAACAAAACAAGGTCATGGGTAGAATTTTTCCCAATTAAATCTGTTAAAGTGCTTTATATATCAACTAGAGGCCCGGTGCTTGAAATTTGTGAACAGAGAAGGGGGGGTTCCCTCAGCCCAGCCTGCACCCTCTCCAATTGGGGACCCCTTGGGGGATGTCCAACTGCCGGTTTAGGCCCGTTCCTGTGGGATCAGGCCTAAACTGGCAGTCGGACATCCCTCTCGCAATCTGGGACCACTGGCTCCCAACCGCTCACCTGCCTGCCTGCCTGATCACCCCTAACTGTCCTCCCCTACTGGCCTAGTTGCCCCTAACTGTTTCTGCCTGCCTGACTGATTGCCCCCAACTGCCCTCCTCTGCTGACCAATTTGGTTCTGATTGGTCAGTTTCTATTCCAGTCAGCATCAAAAGCTCCACCTACAAGACAGCCATTGGTCCTCACAGCAGCCAGATTTGGTTCTGATTGGTCGGTTTCAATGCCAGTCAGCGTCAAAAGCTCTGCCTGCTAGACAGCCTTTGGTTCCCCACAGCACCCAGATTTGATTCTGATTGGTCAGTTTCAATGCCATGCAGCAACAAAAGCTCCACCTCCTAGGCAGTCATTGGCTCCCCATAGCATCCAGATTTGGTTCTGATTGGTTGGTTCCTATGCCAGTCAGCATCAGAAGCTCCACCTCCTAGGCAGCCATTGGCTCTCCACAGCACCCACATTTGGTTTTGATTGGTCGGTTCCTATGCCAGTCAGCATCTCCGGCCTATCTCCAGGCCTGATCAGAGAGGTGGGGCTGAACAGCAGTCCCCTTTGAGGCCCGGAGAGAAAGAAAGGCCCGGCTGCTAGCAAAGCCCGGAAAGAGAGATAGAAAGAGAGAGGCAAGTACTGATCAACAGCTGCCCCTGAGGCTGCGGATCAGACCCTGCCTCTCTCTCTGGGTCTCAGCCCCCTGGGCAGACAGTGTTGGATCGCCAGACTGCAGTGGGGCAGTCAGTGCTGGGTCACCACGCAACCCAGTGCTGACTGAAGGACTTCCGGGTTGGTCAGCCTTCGGTAGTGATCTGTCATTACAACCCTGAGCTTTTATATATTAGGATTAGAGGCCCAATTCATAAAATTCATGCAAGGGCCTTGGCCCCAGTCCCTGCCCACTGCCGGGGGGCCTCTGCTGCCTCTGCCGCCCACTGCAGCTTTGTACGGAAGGAAGGACATCTGGAAGGATGTCCAGTCTAATTAGTATATTATGCTTTTATTATTATAGATTGTTAAAACACAGCAATAAAGTCACTTATGATCCTGCTTATATTGCAAACTTTGAAAACATGTTTTTAATACATAAAACACCAAGCAAACTTGTGATCTTATAATATAAATTGTAACTATTTTATGAGGGCCTTAAAAAAAGAAGCAAGAATTCTTAAAAGCATAATCATTAATTAATATTTCACCAAGACTAATTGAATCCTTATGTATTTAGCAGAAAATTAATTATATGCATTGCTGAGCAAAGTAATGCAAAGTAGCTTAGATTAAACCATGCTTATAAACCATCAGGGAATTAAGAAAAAATATCCATGTAACTATGAATGAAAAAATTATGACACAGCATTATCATGCTCTAATATAAAGTACTTGTTTTGTAGATATACTAAAGACCACAGAAATTCATTGTGGATCAGAAGAATAAGTATCTTATTTTCACAATGACCAGACATTTTACAAGCCTGGAAGTTAGGGCTCTCTACTATTTGGAACCTAGTTATCTTTCTAGTTTTACTTCCCATTCTTCCCCTTCGTAACCAGACCAATTTTTAAAGTGCAATACCCATGGCCATAAACCATGTGCTCCAGCCAAACATCGGCCTTCTCCCTCGTGTCTTTTCTTACATCCTTCTCTTCACTTGGAATGAATCACCTCTATATATCCTAACTTTACACTCTTCAGCAGAGACTAGCTCACATATCAGCTTCTTCATGTAGCCATCACTGATGCTGTAAGCCAAAAGTAATTGTCTTCCCCTAAATTTCTGGAATCTCAATGTGAACTCTTCCTAAGGCATTTACACCCTACATGAGAGTTATTTTTACATATATCATAGCTACACTACAAGGCCATAAACAACCTGTGAGCAGAGATCATATGGTTTAGCGGTTCTTTTAAGGGTTCTCCTCTTATGAAATCTTTCCAATATATTCACCTTCATTTTCAGAGGAACAGCTCTTTTACTTTTGTACACATATTTCATCAACTTCAGTAATATTTAAATAAATCATGTAATAATATCTAGCACAACTAGTATAAAATGGTATGAAAATAATCACAACTGGCCCTTAGTAAACATGCAACTCAAAATAATGGGTATTATTAGACAGCAGCCTTCTATGGAGTGGTTAGTTTGCTTTGGGCATCAGTCTATTTTACAGAGCAAATGGGGAGTTTGGGCTATTCCTGTCAATTAGGTTTAGTGGAAAGTAGTTAAGAGCTTATGTTACTCTTTCTGTACATTTCTGGTTTCCATTCATTAGTGCTCACAGGCATGGAATTTTTGTTTCAGAAGAAGTTCAAAACTGCAAGACTTTTTCAATCATCATTGGCTTTCAACTGATTTCAAATTGAAGCTAAAGTCAAGATTCATTCACTGAACAAATATTTATTGAACTCTATGTACTAGGCAGTATGCTAGGCAGGATTTTTTTTTTTTTAGCAAGATAACCATGTGGTACAAAATTTCTAAAAGATCTTACAATTAATTTCAAATTAACCATTTTGATCTGAGCTACAGAATTGTGATAGAACTATAAATTACTTTTTTTCTTATTTTATTCACTGGAAATCTAGGATGTGTTTGCATGTTGCCACTAGAGGCAGCTCCACAGTAATCAGGTCCTTGTCTAAGCCTTCACCTGTACAAGAGCATTGCTAGACACAACCAAAGTTCTCCCAGACTAGCTTGAGAACACTCAGTTGTATGTGAACATTCTCCTGCTTCTTTTATACAAGGGTGCAGCATAAAGATTCCTATCTTTTTAGCTTTTTAAAAGGAGTTATTTTTATCTATAAAATCTTAAAATACATGATAGCAATTTATTTAAAATTATTACTTGAGACACTAATTTCTCATTCCGTTGTTTCTTTCCATGTGGAAGAACATCTGTTATAACACTCCTTCCTGGCTTAGCTTCCCTCTATCACTCTTCCCCATTTTACTCTGTTCCTGGTGCTATAAAGTATAAAAGGCAGGTCCTCATGTGAAGAGGTCTTCAGAACCTGTGACTTGGGATATAAATTTGGCTATTTCTGCTCTGGCCAGTGTGACTCAGTTGGTTGGAGCATCGTCCTGTATGTACATCAAAAGGTGGCAGGTTCCATTCCCTGTTAGG